CCCATTTTTATGGACCATCGATATGTGTTTGCGACGCTCCGAAGCATTAGCATGCAGACTTTTCTTCTATCAGTTAAACGAGAGGCCGTTTCGGTTTGTCTCCCGAGGCTCGAGGTGGGGCTCTCTTACGGCTGTCCCGCGGAAATACGACTCTACATGTACGAGGCATACATGATACAGGAGCGTACGGAGCAGCAGTCCACTTACGGAGAAGCAGTAGATGGAAGAAATCCAGCATGTTCCGTGCTTTTTTCTCTCCTTCTTTTCTTTCCTTACTTTTTCTTGTCCCCTTTCGGGATCCACCCATCCATCCAGTTCTGGGACAGGGTCTGGGTCTGTGTCCTTGGCTTGATCCAAGCTCTGGACCTAGAGTCTATTCATATAACATGTACAGTGTCACGGAGTGGTCGCAATGCCATCATCGGGCCTGTATATGGCGCATAGAGCCGTCGAGAGTATCGACTCGCTCGATCAACGACGCTAACCGTCCGCCACATCACGGCAGACCCCGTCATACAAGGGCAGGTAAGCACACAATGTTCAGCATCTTCACGCTCCGCTGTTACTCGGGTCATATTGCCGCGATGGGATGTGCGCGCCACGGAGATGGGACGGCAAGGACAGGAAGGCACGCAATGCTCAGCATCTTCACCATTCGTGGGAACTAACTCGGGTCGGAATGCCGCGATGGGGTGCACGCGCGCCGAGGCCATAGGGCGAGATAGGAACCACGGCTTTTGTGTATGCCTCTCTCTCTCCCTCCCTCTCTCTCTCTCTCCCCCTCTCTACCTATACTAGCAGTATATCTCACCGTCTACGGAGTGAACTGCTCCGATTTGAAGTCAGCCCTCCGTACGGAGAAGCGTAAAGTGAGTGGTGCATGTATCCCGACGATGGCCGCTGACTTTAAGCTTGTTTCCCTTATGCGCAGGGTGTGGGATGAGCTCATGGTCTGCCAAGTCGGGAGGTCGGCACCGAACCCCGACAAGTGATATTAGAGGAGGGTTAATAATGATATTATCCACGGAGACAGACGAAGAGGCTCGTGCAAGGTGCAGGAAGTGCCCACAGGTTGCCGTTGGCTGGTCCGTCATCATGTACCTATATGTACATATAATGTATGGGTATTTATACTTGATTTGAGCGTTCCCGTTTCTCTTGATGACTATGGATGGCACTTACACGGATATGATATGCATTGCGTATTATACACCAATTATATATTACGAGTAGTAGGAGATAGTGATGACTATATTCCAGTTAACCCTATGCAAACACCAGCTATTGCTCTTCGCAAAATAAAGGAAGAAAGGCAGAAAGGAAAAAAAGGAAAAAAAGATACAAATCTAGATGAGCTGGATTCGTCTAGTTTTTGGGCTTGCCCCGCATCTTTCACTTGCTGACGACGGAGGCCACGCCAGGGGTATGGCGCAATCTGATGGTTCCAAGCACGCAATCCTGCAAGTCGTTTGTGCAATCCTGCTCAACCAACGCCGGGCGACTGGGATGTTGAGCTACGAGCACTTCTAGTTTCCTGCTAAATCGTCAGAGATGGCATAATCCATAGTGTGGATGGGTCGAGCATGTGTATTATTGGCAGTTGCCATTTTGCTTTTCTTGTGTTCAAAATCAATATTCCGTAATGGTTGTTGGTACTCTTCCTCTTCCTCTTCCCTTCTCGTAAGAAGTATTGACGACTTGGACCTGGACCACAAGTCGTGCAAGGTAGGCTGACGAGTTTAGAAGTCCCCTTTAAAGGTTGCTGCTCTCCTCTCTCCCCTAAAAAACGCCTCTGTTGATCCCGCGCGCCAAGCTCGTTTCCTCGACCTCTTGTTCTCTTCTCCCTTCTTTGCCAAGGCGTTAGTAGGTGCTATTCAAAGGGTGATCCTTTTTTGTTTCGTACTCTTGGCCTACATCTACCTCGTCTCTCACATCTTACAAGGACTCTTCTTATACCCGTGCCAATCGTCACTTACGCCCGTCCTAGTACTGAACGCGCGCGCGCGCACACACACACACACATATCAAGAGGCACCGCGACCGTCGGTAGCCAAGTCCCCAAAACATGTCCAGCTCCTTCAAGCAAAAGGCCGCGCACGCCGTGGGCTTCGACCAATTCCGCCCTTATGAGACCGCTCCAGAGTATCCTGACGTGGACCCGTACTACGAACAGGAGCCTACCGTTCGTGAATTCCTTGAGGAGCGCACACCGTCTCTCAAGGACGTTGGTCTATACTTCTATCGTCTCTTTCCCTTCCTCTCGTGGATTGGAAAGTACAACCTGACATGGTTCGCTGGTGACTTGATTGCCGGTAAGTTGCGCCCGTGTTATCCCCGACTCCTTGGCATCATGTACTCTCCCAATATCCGCGGAAACTGACGCTCCTCTCTTGCCTCCCCACCGCAGGTATCACCGTCGGCGCCGTCGTTGTGCCTCAGGGCATGGCGTACGCCGAATTGGCCGCTCTCCCCGTCGAGTTTGGTCTCTACTCGTCCTTCATGGGTGTCCTGATATATTGGTTCTTTGCCACGTCCAAGGATATCACCATTGGCGTACGTCATGATCAACCCTCTTACCCGCACTGCATCGTTAGCCTCTTGGCCCTCTTAGCCTTCTTGGCCTCCTTGGCTTCCTTGGCGCGAAACCTGCGATGGAATTTCTGAGCTAACGCGATGCAGCCTGTCGCTGTCATGTCCCTCGTCACCGGAAACGTCGTCACCCGCGCCCAAACCAAGCTCGATATCGAGGCTCACTACATCGCCTCGGCCCTCGCCATCATCGTCGGCGCTATCATCACCTTCCTCGGTCTTGCCCGTCTGGGCTGGATCGTCGAGCTCATTCCGCTGCCTGCCATTGCCGCCTTCATGACGGGAAGTGCCATCACCATCGCTGCTGGCCAGGCCTCCAAGATCCTCGGAATCTCGGGCGTCAGCTCGCGCGACGCTGCCTACCGCATCATCATCAACACGCTCAAGGGCCTGCCCGACTCGCAGCTCGACGCCGCTCTCGGCCTGACCGCTCTCCTCATGCTGTACCTCATCCGTGGCCTGTGCTCGTACATGGCCAAGAAGCACCCGAACAAAGCCAAGTTGTACTTCTTCATCTCAACCCTGCGCACTGCCTTTGTCATCCTCCTCTACACCGCCATCAGCGCTGGGATGAACCTGCACAGGAGGAGCAACCCCAGTATCAGCATCCTCGAGACCGTTCCGCGAGGCTTTCAGCACGCCGCCGTCCCCAAGGTCAACCGCGAGATCATCAAGTCGTTTGTCGGTGACCTCCCCGTCGCTGTCATCGTCATGCTCATCGAGCACATCTCTATTTCCAAGTCGTTCGGCCGAGTCAACAACTACACCATCGACCCATCCCAGGAGCTCGTCGCCATCGGCGTCAGCAACCTTCTCGGCCCCTTCCTCGGAGGCTACCCCGCCACCGGCTCCTTCTCCCGAACCGCCATCAAGTCCAAGGCTGGTGTGCGCACTCCCTTTGCCGGTGTCATCACCGCCATCGTCGTGCTTCTGGCCGTCTACGCCCTGACCGCCGTCTTCTTCTACATCCCCGACTCCGCGCTGGGCGCGGTCATCTTCCACGCCGTGGGCGACGTCATCACTCCTCCCAGGGTCCTTTGGCAGTTCTGGCGTGTGGCCCCCATTGACCTCATCGTCTTCTTCGTTGGTCTCTTCGTCACCATCTTCAGCAGTCTCGAGAACGGAATCTATTCCACCGTCTGCGTCTCCTTCGCCGTCCTCATGTGGCGTCTCTTCCTGACCAAGGGTCGCTTCCTCGGTCCCGTCCGTGTCCAGACTGTCAAGGGCGGTGTCAACGTCCCCTCACCCGCCCCTGTCGGCGACAACTCCGTCACCGCCGATGACACGGTCGCTATCTCTGGCGCGCGCACTGCCTTCATGCCCGTCTACCACGAGGACGGATCCAACCCCAGGATTCGCGTTCAGCACCCTTACCCGGGTGTCTTTATCTACCGCTTCGCCGAGGGCTTTGCCTACCCCAACGCCAGCAACTACCTGACCCACCTCGTCGAGACCATCTTCAAGGAGACGCGCAGGACCGACCCGAGCTCCCTCGGAAAACTGGGTGTAAGTATATTATCCTTGAATCACTCTAAACTGCGTGCCCTTGCCCCCCCTCCCCTTGATCAGGGCATCTAGGTGCTAATCCCCGACATAGGATCGACCCTGGAACGACGGCGAGGCCCGCGATGCCATCCTCACCGGACAGGACGATAAGCCTATCCTGCGTGCCGTTGTGCTCGACTTTTCGACAGTCAATCACATGGATGCCACATCCGCCCAGGCCATCATCGATACCCGCAACCAACTGGCCAAGTATGCCGCCCCCGAGAAGGTTGAGTGGCACTTTGCCAACATCCAGAGCCGCTGGACCAAGCGCGCACTGGCCTCCTCCGGATTCGGATTCCTCGAGCCCGAGGGCGACGATGTCAAGCAGTTCCAGCCCATCTTTAGCGTTGCCGACCCCGTCTTGGACTCGGACAGCCCTAGCATCGCCAGCAGCGATGAGAAGTCGACGGGAGTATCCAAGGCAGTCGATATCGAGGCTGCTAGGCAGAGGGCTCAGAAGCCCTCTTCTGTCAGCGGAAGGCTGCCGACCCATGGTCTGAACAGGCCTCTTTTTCATCTCGATCTGCAGGAGGCTGTTGAGGCGGCTATCACGATTTCCAAGTCCAAGGATGCTTAAAAATTCCCCCTTATGTTTTGTGCTTTCCCCACCTTTTTATATATATCCCATACAGTTGCCTTTGATAGGTGCAGATGTAAGCATACAATTTAATGTCTTTTTTTGTCTGTTTTTTTGTTTCTATCTATTGTATCTTTCCCTCCTTCATTTTTGTATCTAACATTACATCATGTGATCTTTATATCGTAGAAGCTGTTGTCTCGTAAAATCCTTGTATATCCCAGGATATCTGAGCCTAGATGAAGACGTGCTCAAAGGCGTGACCGACACCGTGGTCAGTCATCCACGTCTCCAAGGCTCTCATGTCATTACGGTTGGCGCGGACACCCCTCCGATTGTCTTCGAACAGGTCCGTGATTTCTGTCATGGAGTCGAACGCACGCGTCACCGGGGCGTCAGGCGCCGCTGTCTCACGGTAGCGCTCCGAGACCTTCTTGTGCTGCGGCGGAATGTCGCTCCAGCTCTCCGTCTTGATGAAGCTCATATAGTCGTAGACGGCTCGCGACGAGCCCTCCAGGCACAGCATCCCCGGTTTCCCCGCCAGGAGGAAACCCGTCAGGCCATAGGTAGGCGCGTGGTTGACAATGTCGTCACGCTTGGCGCGCGTGCTGATGGAGGGGAAGTAGAACCATATCCGCGAGAGATCGTTGGCGGCGTAGCCAGGTCCGGCTTGGGAAGTGGCAGCTTGGCGATGCGACTCGGCTTCGACGGCGAGCGTTTCAGCTTCGGACATGACACGGTCTATGGCAGAGAGCAGGTCACCATCGGCGTCGGCGTCATCGTCGGCGTCACCGCCGTCACGGCTGCCTGGAATCTTGCCCGTCAACCGCGCCGTCTCGGCCTTGCTGAGCCACCCCGGCTGACGAAGCCGGATGGTCGGCCTCGGAGGTTCCACGGGCGGACATGGACCCGAGTACACCAGGGGTACCGACACGTCGAGCTGGAGGGAGCACTCTGGCCTGTTGGGTAGGAAAAGGGTGAGGACAAGGGGTATTGCCTTTCCTGTGCCCGTTCTGCTGCTGCTTAGATCTGGCGGCAGAGCCTTGTCTGCGTCTGCGCCCTCGCACCATTCCCGCAATGCCTCGAGGAGATGTGATGATGATTCGTCCATCCATACGGCCGAGTCCGAGGCGTACATAGCCTGTAGGAGGTCGACTTGGCCTACCTGGAGCTCTAGGAGTTCCCTTGGTAGGAACACTTCCGACATGGTCCCGGGTCCTCTACTGTCTTGTCACGTGGTTATGAGGCATGCGCAGCATCTACATACATGTTTCGTGCTTCGAATGGTTTGCTTGAAGCCATCATGAGGCACTTCCTGAGAAAACCTGCGTACATCACGTGATATACCATACGGGTACTCTCAATCCCAGGCCGATCCTAACATACATAGCAGTAGTAGTAGTATATGTAGCTACCATATCTGTACTATTAGTACCCTGCGTTGTATCAACACGTACCGTGTACTCCGTACTCGCTCGGAGAAGCTCTCTGCAAACAGATAATAAGGGCAAGTGCTAAGAGGGACGGAAGAAGAAGAAGAGTGATTTCGTCATGCATAAAGTGCATGTAAGAGTTGCGACATCATTGGTATCACTACTGTCTTCTGGAAAACAGTAGTTGTGACAAATTCAACAACTGTCAACAAACAACATCTGTCCCTGCAAAGTATTTGGCAATCTACTTCACTTTACCGATTACGATGCACCAGACACAGTACATGATCTTGCGACCATTGCAGGAACCGTCCTCTCTAGAGTCCCGCGCGACAATTTCTACTAGTTGATATATTACGTCATGTAGTTTGAATCAGAGTCCATGGGTTACGGTGTAGTAATATATCGGGATCGAACTTGAAAATATATTATGTACTCCGTATGAGTATCTAATAATACCTATTTGCCTGCTTCTCAACTGCTCTGAAAGCTCGTCGTCCCCCCCTGTCGACTGTGTGGGGCGTATGTCGTGACTCTGTGCTCTCCGAGATAAAGGGGTTGCCATCAGTTGTCGTCTCTGACTAGTTGACTAGTCAAGTCTCATGTCTACGGGGACCGAGGAGACGGACCATCCATCTCCATGGATCTACCAGATGTCCCTGCACTTTGTTTCATTCGCATGCTCTTTCTTTTTCTTTGCCAGTCATTATCCTGGTCTTTCTCTTTTTCTTTTCTTTGCATGTACATATACGGGCCCATGCCACGAGCTTCCTATGCCATGTTGGGGGGTATCACCGACGAGCCGAGTTGGCCTGAGCTGCATAGTAACATCAGAATGTCTCAGCATGACGGCAAGGCGAGGAGTACGGAAAGATTTTTCCTTGATCCCCTGTTGTTTATGTGTTTTCCACACCATATGGCGCAATGCTGTCACAGTATTTGTCTCTCATGTCCCTCTTGTTAGTTGGCACACGTGCTAGTAGTATATTGTGAGATCTCCAAGGTCACTGGAAAGGGGCAGGTCATCTTCGAGATATGTGTAGTTTACTTGTAGTACTTGGTGGAACCAGTGGTTGATGGGAAAAATGGAAAGAATTGAAACGTTATATCATCGAGACTAATATCTATCGTGTGCAGCACAAAAGTAGGATTGTAATACAGAGGGTACAGGTACAGAATACAGAATAACAGTGTCTGGGTATGGATGTTGCATGCTCAAGTGGCAGAGAAATCTTAGTAGTTGCTTGCGAAAGAAAAAAGAAAGAAAAAGGGGACAAACGGAAGCAGGAATGAAGAAAATGATGATGGAAAGAAGAACCAAAGGAGTTGGTAAGAACGGAAGAGGCCCCAAACGGCGGAAAGCAACGACCGCTCTTTAGAAAAGAAGGCGAATGCTGCCCTAACGCTAGGGGTAAAGAACAAGAGAAGAACCAATGCTATGGTCGTTCCTATGTTGGCCTTGGATACCCTCTTACCCCCCCCCCCCCCCCCGCCTTCTGTGATCATCGTTCCTCTATTTTCTTTTACTTCTTCATAGTCGTCCTCTCGAAGTCTGTCCGCACCCGGATACCGCGCAGGGGAATGTCGTCACCACTGTCGTCGTCCTTGCCACCACGACCTGTGGTCTTGATGGTGTATCCGTACTCCTTGCCGTCGGGCCTAAGATTGGAGTCGATGGGCGCGGGTGCGTTGTCGTGCTCCTCATCGGGGAGACGATAGAAGTTGTTGCTGGATCGCTTGGTGCTGACGTCGGTCAGGTTTCCCTTGCTCTCGGGGGCGGAGCTGGACTGCTTGGAGCGGCCATCGCTGTGGACGGCCCTGCTGAGGGGGGTCCTGATGCCGAAGCGGCGGGCGATGTAATTGATGATGGGGAGGAGGGTGGGGAGGCAGGCGGAGATGATTCCGGCCGACATCTCGATTTCGGTCCACCCGACAGTAGGCGCAAGCGTGTAGCTGGGATCGGTGGACGAGTAGGTGAAGAGAACACTGGTGCGGTAGGCGGAGGCGAAGACGACACTACAAGGCGGGCAGCAATACATGGTCAGCAAGCCGAAAGAGACGACGTCTTTGCGTCGGATGACTGGGTGGTTTGTTTGTGTGTGTGTGTGTGTCAGATGTTCTGCTTACAAGAAACCGAGACCAAAGGCCATAGTCAGACCAATCTTCTCCCGCTTGCTGAGCTGGAGTCTCCAGATCTGAGGGATGGGCAGGCAAAGGATGATGAGATCGGTGAATAGGGTGGAGGCTGCGTTGGAGATCCAGGTGCCGACCTGGTCGATGCAGCGTCCGGGGAGCTCGGGGTACCAAAGCTTCTGGACGGGCACGCAGATGAAGATGAAGAGGAAGGTGACGCAGACGACCCAGGCCATGACGAAGGCGCCGACCGCCCATGCCATCTTCTTGAAGTAGGAGACGCGGAAGATGCGGTAGTACATGAGAAGCAGACTCAGCTTGGTCCAGCCAAGGTTCCAGGCGTACAGGATCTCGGCAACGAGGAGCCACTTGGCCATCATGACAAGGTCGGAGGGGTCCACGAGGTCGGCGTGGAGGCCCATTCCGCAGTCGTGCATGGCAAAGATGAAGCCCACAACGACCAGGTTCCAGAGCTATGATTGTGGCGTCAGTAAACGGGGCAGCCGAGGAAGGGGGGGGGGGGGGAGGTTCAAGCTGAGGCAATTCGAGGCCTTGAAGCCTTTTGCAAAGACAGGACGTACCATGGAGAAAATGATCATGTAGTCGTCCCACCAGAGCGCCTGCTTCTTCAGATAGCGACTCAGCAACCTAAGACCGACGAAGACTAAGGCCAGAACCGTCATGACGACGACGACCTTGACGGTCCATGGCTGTATGGAGACCGGGTCGAAGCCGGAAAGGCCAGGAAGCTGAGATTCCTTGGCAGCTCCCATGGCGAACGTTGGGGGTTTACCGGTGCAGGTGCGAAAGGAACGTGAGCTGTCCTTCTCTCTGCAGTTGTGTTCGAGAAAAGAGGACGGGAGACTGGTGATTACAGACCAGTTCCCCAGAGAGAGAGTGTGTGCGGCGGGCCTGGTCTATAAAGATATCCGTCGACTTATTACCGTTTCCTTTCCTTTATACAACTCCGTACCGCTTTGACGTGCTAGTACAAGAGTGGGTTGGTCGAGAGCTCTAGTATGGGTTAGAAGTTGTCCCCTGCTGCGCTTTTGTCCATCATACGTGCGTGTATGTGCGCGCGTGTGTGTGTGTGCGCGTGTGTATTACTGCCATCTTGTATGGGCATGCCCCGTAATTGTACGGATGGGCACGATGGCGAGTCCTGTACCATGTGGACCTCACGGTGCGAAGCCTTTAGCCAGAGCCAGGTTCAGTATTATCGACCTGCAGCCACGCTGCGGATGGCCCCCATGCCAAGGTAGGGAGCAAATGGGACGTGGGTTGTGGGCCGTGGCTCGCAGAGGACCAGAGGTGGGCTCGGTGGCCACAGACAGGACCCGGCTCTGCCTGGTCAGACTTTTACGAGGTAGGGAACCGTAGTATCCGCTCCGACTAGTGGAGGCTTAGGCTGGTTGTCCAAGACTTCTCCCACATGCGGGTGTATGGTTGTGAGGAGACTTCAGGGAAGAGCTTTTTTAGCGTCGAGTCGTGCTCGTACGCCTACGAGGATTACTGGGCTAACGACCTCGCTCAAGCCTCGGCCCGGGACCAAAGGCGTTGGCTTGGGTCAGTTGCCGGTGCTAGGGAAATATATCCGCTCGCTCCCTTGCCTTCTAGTCTCTTTCCCCCCCCCTCCTCTCCTGCGGCACACGCTGCAAGAGGCCTTTCAAACGTAGTTCAACGACGGCGACGAGAAGAGTCTGGTCGTTCTGGTGGTGAGATCCCGACAGCAGGGGCGGGTCTGAGCGTACGAGTTTCTCAAAACTCTCCATCTCTGATGGATGCAATTATTACCTGTACGATTGTGATTACATATACAACTGAAGAGGCCTGCCCATGGTTCATCTAAGGATTGAGACCGGGGATGGTCAGACTTCTCCAACGATGCGACGAACCATATTCGCGTGGGTTGAACGCAGGGGGGGAGGTAGGGGGGGGGGAGGGCCAGAGAAGGGCGATGGGAGCCAAGGTACGGAGTACTTCTCCGTAGTACTATTACTAGTCTTAGTAGTACCGTAGTAGTATGTTCTAGTGCGACATGATAGATTTCAGACTGCGGTCATGGGTAAGGATGTCGAGCAAGGGTTCAGCCGTTGTTCTATCAGTACTCGTCCACCCGTGCACGTACATACAACGTACGTGTGTCCAAACACGTGCGAAGTAGATATGACAAATGTGCATCGACAGGGCATCTTACAGGACGGGTACGAGTAATAGATACTGCAGCATCGTGCATGCGAGATGATGGGCTCTTTTCTTATTGGCCCCTTTACTACAGCCTCGGGTCTGCAGGGGCGTTGACATGGTGTCACTGATTTTGGGGTCCATTTGGGGCCCATTGCACGACACCCATGGACATTGGCTACCGTCGGAACCCTTGGGCCTCGTCTGGTCAGTGTGCCAGGCCAAGACAGATTCTGCGAGTACATAGGTACTACTTGTATTGCTTGCATGGTGGCCATTTGACTGATACCTGTATGAGTGCGACTTCTCCTCGCTCGGTCAGGATGTAAGGAAGGATGGGGGGGGGAGGGTGGCGGCCAATATCGGCGGTTGGAAGAACTGCTCGACATGGACACAACCTGCGGGCCTGAAGGGGAACTGCCGATCGCAACAACTGGCTGAAACAAGACAGCTTACAGTAGTGTAGCAATCAGAGAGCAATTCTCCTTACTTGAGCATGACAAGGGAAGGACGGTAATCTACTCGGTACGCTGTCGTGCCATAGTCTCAAGTGCCATTACCACTATTGGGAGAAGACGAAGGGGAGAAAAAGAAAGGACGAGAAAAAAATCAGAGAATAAGCTAAGCTAAATGAGGAGTACAGTTACTAACAACTATGCAGGGGGAGGGGGGCGGCCGAGGCAGATACATATCCATGACAGCTACACAGTGACTAGAGACTAGAAAAAGAAGGGAGAAAGGAATCGCATGGTGAGAAAAGTACAGCTCATATGACTTCTCCGTAGGAGAGAATCGATTACTACCGGGTACTCCGTAGATGGATGAAGAGAGGAAGGAAAAGAAATTGCAAACTATCCACGATGTCTCGTAGATCGTACGGATACGAAAGTACCTACAAGTAGTTGCGAGTTGCAAACCACGGATGCTATTACCGAGTACCCAGTACGTGTACCCGAGTCTAGCAGAGTCTAGTATTACCAGTGGCAGTGACGAATTGGCAGGCCAGTATCGTAATAATAGGATGCGACGTCTCCGTACTCCGTACACCATCCCCGTGCCTGTTGCCACCATTGCGAGGTTCCAATATTACAGCAAACACGCGACTGTCCGGTTTCCGCTGGACCATTGCAGCACCATAACCTCCGTACAATGACCGTACGAGATACGACGTGATGCAAGTACTGTACAGGCCTCCGTATATATGGGTCGCATCATGGTCGCTCTCCGATCTCGAGATACTACGAGTATACGAACGGAACATAGGGACAGGAAAATGCGATGCTAGAATCAACCCTCGAATGGCTCCAATCCGGGGGGGGGGGGGGGAACCCCCATTTCCCTCAAGATTCTTCCCTCGTTTCCAGGACCCCCCGTACGTGACGCTAGCACGGGCAAAACGGTTTTTTCATGACGCCGAGTGGACGACTCTATACTCCGTATGAGCTACTTCGTACCGTTTGGTATTGCCACACGTATGGTGTGGTTATATGTAATAATATCCGTACCGACGCCATCTTCCCCGAAGTACCGCACCGTGCCTTTTCCGTACAGGCTACTTCGTACACACCCTCTCCTCCCCCCTCCCCCCTGTCCAACCTGGGGCGCCGCCGTTTCGTCTCTCTGGTGACACCGTAGGTGATGCTCGGCGACAGGCATACCAGGCCATCCGTACACAAGAGTGTCGTTTACATGTACGGATATAGCAGGATGTAATCCATTCCTCGATGACCCCTCCCATGAATTTTTTTCTTCTTCCAAAAAAAGCCCACGGCCATGGCATAAGTGGAAATTGGTGAGCGGGGCTCTTACTAAATCGAGGGCCGTCTCCGCCCGTGAGCTAACCCATGATGCCCATCCATCCGTGGTTGTCGTGACATTGGCGTATGACGATTTTAGCGTCCCTCAGTCTCGTTCGGGGACACTTGAGATGGCCCATGGCCCAAGACTCTGTCGGTCTGCACAGTAAGCTCCGTATTCCGAGACTCCATGGCCCCTTTCCCCAAGTCCTTCTTTCCCCTTCTCTTGCGCTCCCCTCTCTGCCAGAGAAGGCAAAGGTCCCAAGAGCCTTCAACCCTCTCCCTCCAGGTCCTCTCTGCCAACCCAAAGGAGAGAACCAAAGCCAGGTTGGGAGAATGGAGGAAGGTCTATGAGGTATCCATGACTGTACGGCCAAGAGTGACTACTCCACTCACGAGATTGGTAGTAGCTTGAACACCGAGACATAACCACACCCGAACCTTGGAGCAAAAGTCGTAAGCTAGATTAGACATCATACCCTGGGGCGTTCAACTCAATTGTCAGGCTCAGTATATTACAGCTCTGGTAGTGATAAGACGAAGTCGGAATCATCCTAGCTCTCTTCTAGTAAGGACCATCCCCCCCCTCCCCACCGTCAATGGTTCGATGGTTCGAAGAGAGAGGTCCTCCCCCCCC